GCCCATTTCAAGCAAGACGAATACCGGATCTACCCTTCAATAGACTGCGAACAGATTTCGCCACATTACAGGCAATTGTCATTTGATCCTCTTTTCTGGGTACCCCATCCTGCCCAGTGTGTACTCTTTCAAATTAGGATTGCTCTACCAAAAAGGACATCATGAAAATAAATAAATATAATGTGTTTTAAAACTCTCAAGAAAACACTTTGTAACATACATCAATCAACAAAGTGGATATGAATAATGAATAGGTCTTACTTTCACTGTAAGTTGAGAAAAAATTGTAAATTGTAGGAGCAAAATCTAGCATGGGTGATTATTTCAGAAACTGTAACCACAAAATGGCGCTGACTCACATGACATGACCCTGTGCTGTATGCTAATGGTATTTTACCCGGTCCCGATAGATCTCAACGCATTTCAGACGAAATTAAGCCGATACCCAGTTCTGCTCCGAGGCCCCGTTCTGCCGTGGTCTCCTCTATATATAAAATATACGATTGGAAAATATTGCTAATTTTAATTAACTAGAGCAAGGCTCCTTTCGTCTATCAAGGTCATTCGGCAGAAAGTGTTGGTTGGGTTTTAAAATCTTGAGTAAGAAACTAAACTAACCCCCCTTCGGAGTATTTATTGCCTAAATATATAATTTAAATACAGAGACGTCAGTTTTCGTAATTGTAATATATCAAATGAGCAGTATGACTTGAATGAGTAGTGTTATTAGTATCACTTTCCCTTGTAACATTGGACAGAATCTTCATAGTAAACGAGAAGTAAAATATGTAGGCCTGTTTATGTGTCTAAGTGCGTGGTCTAAATTATTCAAAGAGATATTTTCCAGACATATTGGTTAACACTAACTTCTTTAAAATACCTAGGTTCAGAAAATAATTTCCTTCATACCCGTAGCTACACTGATATACTGTGGAACGTCTCTTCCTTTGGAGTCTAAATTGAACTTGTAAAATTTAAGATTCATGGGCTTTCTATCTTTAAAATTTCGTTCTTCTGGAAGAACGGCTTCAGGTATTAGATTTATTGTTTATGACAGTATGCCTGGAACCGTTCGTTATATTTCGACTTGTGCGTTGCGTTGTTTTAAACAATGTTTGTCCTTGCTTTTCTTGCTGTATTGATTTATTTATGTCGTGATACGTAACAGTCCATTTCCACTCAAACAGCTGCTTTGGGGTCTTTCTTGCGTCTGGCATCATTACGCGGCTGCATCGAACTTGTTAGCTTGTTCACTAAAGCATTCACGTATTCCAAGCCTTTGGCTTTCGTGGGGGAACGCAGACAGGTGCTTCTTCCCTTGAGCTGTCCCATGATCATCAGCGCATTAAGAACTACTGCAAATATCTACTGCACGGTTTGCCTGAATGCAGTAAATGTACACATTTTGAATCCGGTTCTGAGATAAAGTTCAGTAGACCTGGACATATATTATGTCAGGACATGGTAATGCCAGTAGATCGGTATGGTCGATGTGTGACAGGTTTGTTTAATTGTGTTTGCCTGGATGATTTTTAATTGAAATTCGTTGATATAAATTTGTTTTAGATTCAGATGTGTTCCCTTCTGCTAATGTGACTTCATTCAATGAAATTCTTAACCGTTTCATGTCAACACTAAATTTCATTTTTACAGTTTTAGTTTGAAGCGTTTTGAAGTCAAGTGGCACCAACTGTGTGACGTCCGTTAGAATTACCTAATCTCAGTCACTGGGCCTCTGAAGACGAGGACAGATTCAGTACTCAAAACGTTTCTTACTTTATAACTCAGCAATCGAAATTAAATTTTCGCAGATTATTTATGAGCTTAATTCTTACATATCAATATTAACATTTATGTTTCTTTAATAACAAACAAAACTTTCTTGTCGTACCACAGTTTTCTCAGTCTGCACTAAAACGTCGTTTTATTTTAATCCTATCCTCTAAGAAAATAGACTTGAAACTGTTCGTTGGTTCCAAACTAACATTGACTCGTGTAGTCACTAATTATGTCATGATTACAACGGGCACCATTCCTACTGGACACTAATATAGAGAGAAAAAGGGGCACTGAACTTCGAAATATCTGCGCACTTGAAATATCGCAAAATGGAAATAGCATTCCACGTCAGGCTACTTTATCAGATACACTCACAAAATAGAATGTTCTTTTTGTACGGTTTGAACCGGAGAGAATTCAATTTGATCCTACCAAACTAGTTTGCAATTCAGAGTCTAGGTAAATTGCAACTAACAGTTCCAGGTCATTCATTATTTAAAACTTAGGGGATTTTACCGCTCGAATATCCACTGTTCATACATTTTGAATAAGATTTACGCTCTGTGATACAGCGAATAGAGTCATAACCTGTCACTTGTACGTACTTCTTCTTTATTACGCCGTCTCCTTTAAAGGAGGTTGGCGACATATTATGAACAGATCCTTCCATCCTTTTCTCGGACTGGGACCTGTTATATATGTTTTTTAGGCAGGTGATACAGAAGTGGACTTGTACATACAAATCAAGCGTTTTCTGATATGTGAGTGACGCACGTACAGGGGTCGGCGTCATTCCTTGGTCTAATATTATCTGGAGTTGTCCGTCATTTTCCCACTCTGACCTACCAAATTTCTGGACCGAATTATGAGAAGTCAGGCCTGGAAATTAATTGTTAAACCAACCTTGAATCGTCCTCTTCTGTTCTTTCTACTTATAGTCTCTTTCAATTCAGTAAACGCTGCTAAAATTATGAATCGTTTTAGATGTTATCCACAAATCATTCAATAGGTGATGAGTTCCACGTAATGCCTCTACTACACAGGACAGCACAAAGCAGAAAGACGAGGTCAAACATTCATGCCTCTCTTTGGTTTCCAACACACGACACTAATAACTGTCACCGCGCGATCGATCACTGTGGTTGGCCTTATCCTGAATCTTGCAGTTGTGACCCTAAAATAAAAGATTTTCTTAGAGGTCAACGAATATTACGCCTAAACTGTAAATACAGAATTTGACGGTCCTCTTAAAAGTAAAACTATAAGGAAATAGTGAAGTGATAAAATGGTTTCGCAATTTTTCATATAAACAAGTCCTTCGTAAGTGTAGTTTATTTACCGAAATTAAAGGCAGTTCAAGCTCCGTTTTTGAGCTAATATGAAATACATTACAAAAACCACCTGCAAAACTCTTACACAGTAACAGTTATTTGCCATCTACTTACGTGTTTCAACCGAACCATCTCATCATCAGGTGTAAAGACTTAAATATAAATGGCATGTTACGTAAGTGTGTGTGTGTGTGACTGTGCGTGCGCGCCAACTGACGCAAGGATCTATGCGTGGGTCATATAGGTATTTCCATAGTCTATATATACGTATTACAGTAGATTTTATGCATAATTCCGTAGAATACCTTTCGGTACTAGAATTTAAAAATCAGATAATTTAAAACCTATAAATACGGCGTAAGAAACAGAACGTTGTGGGTGTGGCCAATGATCAGTCTTAAATTGAAGGTAAGAACTGAAGCCAATCATGATTGTGAAATTAATTAATTGTGTAAGAACAAGTTCAGCCTGCACTGACCGAAAGCTTTAAGGAGGTCAAATTGACAAGCGTAATTAGAGTGTAGGGCAGAAGAATGGTTACTTATACGGTACATAAAATTGTAATAATAAAATATGAAAAGTTTCTCATTGATGTCTAAATGTTCGCAATGTTAAGTAAAGAATAAAAAATTCTATTCTTCGCCTATATGTTTTATTTTCACAGTTCTTTTATGCGCGAGAAACTGATAATTACATTATTTATACGCCAAACCTTTGGTAAGTGCTCAGCACACACTGAGCTGTCTATAATATTTCATTTTCCGTCACAATAAGCAAAACATGTATTTTACACAATGATATTTCCTTTCATTAGACAAAAAGTTATATTAATACAACTAATTATTCAGTCTGTATTTGGTTCCATAGTACGCTTCTTCACAACGAATGCTAACAGTCATTTAGAGCTGTCACACGTGTCAGACTGTTCGGATTGTGTGTAGAAAACATTATACAGTAGTATAGTTCAAAGTAAGACTGTCGACATATGTCAATATCTGTACGTATGAAAGCTCGTAAAACAAAATGACAACAATGAATCAATCATTCTATACCGTGTATACCATTTCATCATTATCGTCACCAACACAACTCCTTCTTTGCCTATTTGCGTTGAATCGCTTTACATTAATTTTTAATCTTAATCCTTCTATACGAATTAAGCCCGCTGTTCTGTTTCAACACAAAATTAAAGATGGCTGCGTCATAGTTTGTTGCGCCTTGTAGAAGGCACCTCTGATACGTCGGACAATTTCTACGAAACTACAATACGCAACTGACTTCTGAAGTTATGAAGTCGTTTTGGATACTTCGTAGGACTCGCTGGACGGAGAATAGGCCAGTCACATGGCCTCTAATGACATAGGAAAACACTACACAGAAGTACGAGGAAAGAGAATTTTGAGTAGATCCATCGAACCCGCCACCCCAGCTTCCGAGCAGTCCGAAATTGAACTTGTCTTAGGTAGTGTGACTACTGAGGCTGGCAGCCTTGTTTTAGTTGATTAACAAAGTAATAATAATAATAATAATAATAATAATAATAAGCGCAACCTGTCAATGGCCTGAGTGGACTACAAAAAAGCTTTTGACACAACTTCTCATGAGCTAATTGTCATTTTGCTCAAAGTGCTGAAAGTCCAACCTGACATAGTGAAATGCATTGAAAATCTACTACCGCTCTGGAAAACGCGCTTCATTCTAACATCTGGGAAGCGTGTAGTGTCAACCGAGTTGGTATGCTACCACCGCGGAGTGTTTCAAGGTGACAGCTTGAGCCCTCTTCTTTTCTGCATCTCGCTACTTCCTCTTTCCGTTGTGCTAAGACGGGAGCGTGGTTACATGTGCGGTGCCCCGTCCATTCGTAGCCACAAAGTCACACACCTTTTTTATATGGATGACTTAAAACTTTATGCTGCCAGCGACAGTGGCATTCAAAGTGCACTGAACACCGTGCAAGTATACACTCAGGATATCGGCATGGAATTTGGATTGGACAAGTGTGCAGTTCTGCATTTGAAAAGGGGAAGAAATAGGGATTTCGGCGAAGACGTGCAACTCGTGGACGGAAGCATCATACACCATCTTGATGCCGAAGAGTCCTATACATATCTTGGTGTGAGTGAGAGTCACGTCCAAGATGTCTCCAAGGTCAAAGAGGCTCTGTGCAGCAAGTATAGACACACCCTACGACAGATTTGGAGTTCCGAGCTGTCTGGTAGAAACAAAGTCACTGCCACCAACATGCTTGCTGTTCCGATCCTGCTCTATACTTTTGGAGCAATGAAGTGGACAGTT